GATGTATAAAGTGTTTGCTGTTTTCATTATAGGAGTGTTGCTAGGAAATCTTGGTAAGATTTATCATATTCTATCTTTGTTATTCTGTTCATCATTCTCTCAATTTTTGTTTAGTTTGTAACATGTTATAATTGCTAAATAACCACCAATCATTGTCCAGTAAAACACATGTATTCTTAAATAAACTCCAATTTTGTTATCAGTCTTTTGCGATGGTCCTTTAAATGGCACAGCATCTGGTACTCATCTTGAAGCAGGTGGTGTTAAACCAGTAGGAACCAAAACAACAAGCAAACCAGGTGCTGCTATTTCTCCAGAGAGTGGATGGATATGTAATAATTTAAAAATTATTTTGAAACAGCTTTTTCCCAAAATGGTGAATAACAAAATGGAAGCGTGCTGTTAATTTCCTTTTGTTAATTATTCTTTTCAAATTGAAGTTTTGTCTTTTATAAGAGACACGAGCTTTAACGTTCGTTTTGAATTAAAAGATTTTAATTGTGAGCATAATAGTATCAAAAAATATTTTTGAACTGTATAACGATTTTTTAGAGAGTTTTTGTTATGAAATTTGAATTCGTTATAACGAATTTAATAATTTTAAAATTATTTTGAAATAATTACTTTTTCCAAAATGGTGATGGACTACAAAATGTGCATATTACTAGTATATGGGTTTTCGATGATCTGGATTCTGATTTTCACAACGAATGCTTTATTAATTAATCTTTTTAAATTGAAGTTTTGTCTTTTTCGTTATAGAGACAAAAATTTGTTATAACGAGATTTAACATTTGTTTTGAATTTGAAGATTTTATTTGTGATTCTTTTCTTGTGGATATTTGTTTTTTTAGACTCTCCCAGGTGCCCGTCATAAGCATAAAACAATTTTTGTAGTTATTGAACAGCTTGAATAGCTTATTGCTCAACTGTAACACTGATGGCCTTATGATATCAAATGTATATCAACTTAAGCAGATAGATATTTTTCTGCATTTGAAAATTTTAATACATTTCGGTTTTTCATTTCTATAATGTTATTTTTTTTTATTAAACGTATATTATATATTAGTTTACTCCGTGTCAACGTATATGAATGTCGCATTTAATTTTTTTTTACAGAAATGAGAAGCTGCAAAAGTCAATTGTTCAACCAGATTATATCAATGCATGTACATATACCAGATTATTCAATATATTGTATTAGTTAAGAGTATATAATTTCCGAAATTCTTAATTAAGATAAACTTTGATCGGTGATGAGATATTTACTAAGTAAAATTACCAATGCAAACATTATTCTAATTCATTTACTGAGTATAAGGACAATTACAACTGTTTTGTCAGTAAAAAGATGATATATTATATACTTATGATATATTATATACTTATGGGAAATGGAATGCTGTCAGTGAATTGTTACTTGTGTCAAAATAGCTTCATGATTTTATATTATTTTTATCATTTGTTCAAAGCTCTCTGATTGGCTCAAACGTAATCACATGGTTAAATATAACAAAAGGGAAATGGAATGCATATCGTCTGTAGATAATTGTTTGATGCCTTTTTACTACGTAAGGGACTGTTTTGACAAAATAGCCGGCTTTATTCGTCATAATTTTAAATGAAAAAAAAAACAGCCCATTACTTGTTTGCATTTTATTAAGTCAAGAGAACATATAATTTGATCTTTTTTTTAATACATGTATATATACTCTTTTTCATGAATATATTTTGGAACTTCAACTGCCAAAAAGTAAAAAAAAATTATTCTAAAAGTGTTGGTGGGGGGGGGGGGGGATTCGAGTATCCGCTTATGTTTTGTTGACATGAAAAAAATCATAGTCATATAAATAGCTTTCTAAAACAATTTGTATCAATTTGGAATTTCTTATTTTTAGATCAATGTAGGTAATATACCTGGATGTGCAGGTCATATTTTTTTCTACATAGTTGTATCTCAGCCAATCAGAGAGTTGGAAATTATTCAATCATATAATAAAGTGTATGATTTAATGTTTCTAAAAAAAATTTTTTTTTCAAATTCTACTAATTTTTTTCAATGATCTGTATTTGATGAGACGAAACAATGCATTGAATTAGGATCTACTTCATATTAAAACATATTGTATATGTGTGTCAAATATTAATACAATACATAATCAAATAAATGAAGTATTTTGAATAAGTAAATCCCATAAATGACTCCATCAAAATAAAGGAAACACATTTACATTAAACAGCGTAATTTATTTTGATCTCTAGTCTCTAAGTGTGATAGAGAGAAAACTTTTTCGATTATTTTCATAATTTATTTTGTCAATCTATTTAAAAAATAATATAACAAATGTAGCCCTTTAATTCGGTCAATCCATAGATATATCTATGGATTGACCTCATCAAAGGGCTATATTTATATAATGAAAAAAATATATAAAATATGGTTTAATACATGTATATATACTCGATGGAACTTCAAGTTACTAGTATTCGAGGGTTCGAAATATTGAGTCCTTTTGAGGGTAATATACATGTACATATTTTACCTTGTAAAGCAGACACTGACATCTAAAACATCCATGGTGGGATCAGGTGCGATGGATGAGTGAATATCCTCTGTCGATCAGTCACACCGCCGTTTATTCCCCTGTCATTTTCGGAAAAAAAACAGGTTGAAATACTAACCTAACAATTTGTACATAAAAAAGTAAATATTTGACATGTTGATAGGTTGTATTTGCTGACAAGGTCACAAAACTTGCAAAATAATTACTTCAAACTGATATGATGATATCCATGTTTCATTATCTTGTTTGTCAATAGTTTCCTCGCTTGGAAATTTTTGGAAGAGTATGCTCTTGCATAAAGAATCAACTGAGAGACGTAAACTCCACATGCAGGTGATATGGATATATTGCACCACAATTAAGGGAAGATGAGAATGAAAAAGATGAACTCCTCACCTTTATCATAAAGTTTTGTTCTTGATTAGCCATAATTTTAAAATTAAAATTAAAATCCCAATACTAAACAGATATGTCAGATTCAGTGATATTTTTTTCAAGCTCAAGAAGTTTCTTTGAATTTTCAAAAATATTGCTTATTGTTTAAGAAACTTGAAATTCTCATTTATCTGGAAGATGGGGGTATTTCTTAATTCTTCCTTACAACCATTAACAAAATCATTATACATGAAGATAACGAACAGGGATCGAGCCAAAAAGTCTATTAAAACAATGAAAATCGGGAGCAGAGTAAACACAGACCACTGTATCACCATAAATTTAATCAGGTGTCATTGAGGTGTAACTTTCTACCGGTGACATCCACATTATGTTCCTTGTCATTTGGCAAACGGGGGAAAAAAAAAGAAAATGCAGTGTGTAAATAAAAAGCATAACAATAGGTATGAAAAGGTCCAGTAAGCATTTGACTTGATTATAAATTGTAATTGCTGCTGACAAGGCCATTGTATCAACCCATAAAACGAGTACATGTCTTTTATTAAATCAATTTGTTTGTTAATAAAATAGAATGTTTTTGTACGTAAGACATGCTCAATTTCGTATCGAATCAACTTGAAGAAATAAAGTCCTCCTGTCGTTGACAATGATATTTTGCTTTTGAAAGCTGTTTTTCTCTAGTAAAACGTCCAAATATGAGACAGATGTGTCAGACTCTGTGGAGACTTTTATTTTGAGATTAATGGGATATCAATTTGATAATGAAATAAAACTGAATATTGGCAATTTATAAATTGAAAGCCCAAGAGACTTTTCAGTTTTTTGGTAAAAGTTTCTGAGTAAATTTGATTGCATACAAATACATAAACAGGTCTGTTTATTAGAGGACATAATTAATCCTATGGACAATTAACATCAGGCCTATAGGGCACCTGCAAAATCCTTATCAACTCCTGTAACTCCAGCATCAGGACTTACCATAAAATTTACAGAAGATGGTAGAGTGGTGCCAGAGAAGTAACGGGGAGTGTGGTAGTAACATTATTGTCCCTAGGGTTGTATTACGAAATGTATCTGAAATAATCATTATACAATTCGCCAGGACATGACTTAAGCTGACTATGTAATTTAAATAATGTAAAAAAAAAAGATAGGCCTACTTAACTACGTTCGAGATTTTTAAATGCAATTTAATTGGCAAAAAGTTGTTTATTTCATGACTTTTTTACTTAAAACACAATCAAGTTATAAAGGATATATTGTAGCAATGATATAACCGAATTATGGTCAGGAAAAAAACTACTATAAAGAGCAGCCATCAATAAAATAATACCATCCCAAAAAATAATTCCGTCTAAAAAAGATATTTATTTAGGTTTTGCCAATCTTATTCATTTCTATAAGTGCCAAAACCTAGATTAGGTAGCATTAAACTATCTATAAATGCGTGGAAAATTCTTTTATTATAGGTTATTGTCAGCGCTAAAATTGGAATAAGACCGAACAAGTGAGGCGTTATTTACAAACCAAAGTTAAAGTGTTCTTACCAACACAATAGATAGTTTACTTAATTAAAAATCATAAGTTAATGATCATATCATAGTACTTAAGTGAAAACACAGTAGCTTACAATTATGAACTATGTTGAAGAATAAAAAAGTATTTCCCTGCTAAAATATGATTCGTATGAACATGTCCAGCTTTTGCGAGCTCCAATCCATGAATCTACTGAATTTTTTTTTTGGCTTAATAAGATAGTTTTATTTGTTGTGCAACGAAGAAGTGATGGAAGCCTGATAGATTTAATTTTATACGAATCTTCTCGAGTTTAAGAACTCTTTAAAGAAATCAAAATCGTTCGTTACATAATTCCACTAAGTTGAGTGTCATTATAATTGGCCAATATCTGGACATGTTTATCTGGTAGGCGTTTTAATGGTGTCTTATAAAAGCCCTCTGCATTCGATCATCACTATACTGATAAAGAACAGAAATGGTAAGGTTTTAAAAACAACAACAACGTTTACATGAACTATTTTAACATCTTTAGTTCAATACCTTATTCCAAATTTTGATTAAGAAGCTTGTTTTATCGATTATGGTACATGTATTTTTATGTTCATTTTTAGAGGAAGATGCATCGAGTATTTGCTGTTTTCATTATAGGAGTGTTGCTAGTAAATCTTGGTAAGAGTTATCAAAATCTATCTGTATGATAGCTGTAAATCGCTCTCTCTCGATCTTTAATCATGTTTGCATGTTACAATTGTTCAATAAGCACCAATGATTGTCCAGCAAAGCACATGTATTCTTACACAAACTCCAATTTTGCTTTCAGTCCTTTGCGGTTCTGTTGGTACTTTAAATGGCACAGCATCTGGAACTCATTCAGGATCAGGAGGAACAGGAGGTGGTGTTAAACCAGTAGTAACCAAAACAACAGGCAAACCAGGTGGTGCTGGTGGCGGTGGTGGCGCAGCAGGATTAACAGGAAGCGTGCTGTTATCCTTGTTACCTTTGGGCGTTTACGGCGTTTTAAAACTGAGTTAGCAGAAATAGTGTCGACAACGAACTGTATTTCTCCAGAGAGTTTGTGACAGCTAGATTGAAAATTTGGATATGTAATAAAAAATAATTATTTTGAAACAGATAATTACTTTTTTCCAAATTGGCGATGGACTGCAAAATATGCATATTAAATGGATTTTTGGTGATCTGGATTCTGATTTTCACAACGAATCCTTAATTTAATTTTAAGTTTTGTCTTTTATTAGAGACTTTACCTTTAGCGGTCGTTTTGACTTTGAGGATTTTATTGGGAATCTTATAGTGTTATATTTGTTTGAATGTTTTTTTTAAATCTAGACTTTCCCGTGGCAGAGGCCCGTCATGAGCTTTATACATTAATATTTTTGTAGTTATTATTCACCTTGAATTTTACTTCATTTTGGTATTTCAGTGCTATAAAAAATTTTGTTTTTAAAATCAAAGGTATATAATATAAATATACTATATGGTACTCTGCGCCAGCGTATATAATGTCGCATTTTTATTTATTTATTTTTTATTTATATAAAAAGTCGTTCTTTAAAACGGATCAGATTCTGTATTTTATCGTAAGAAGTATACGGAGATAACGAACAGTATTCAATATCAAAGTCCATAAAACAATACAAAATAGGAGCAGAGCAAACACGGACCTCCGACACATCAGAGGTGGGATCAGGTGCCGTATAATTTCCGAAGTTCTCAAGAAAGATAGACATTGATCGGAGATGAGACATTTACTAAGTAAAATAACAAATCCAAACATTATTATCATCCCTTTTACTGATTATGAGGACAATTACAACAGTAACTATACACTCGATGGGACTTCAAGATATCCGAGGGCTCGAAGTACTGACGCCTTTGAGGGTAATAAATATATACCCTGCAGGGCAGACACAGACATCTAAAACACCCATGGTGGGATCTGGTGCGATGGAGAATGGAATATCCTCTGCAATCAATCAATCATTTATTTGAATCTCTTCACCATTTTACAATAGTAAACAGAGATACAAAAATAGGTGATTTTATATATGACAGTAGGTCTAAAAGGCATGCGTGAATAATTAAGAAACTAAACCAAAAAAAGTAGGTGGCTATAAATGTGAAGTATGGGAATTTAGGCAGGGGAGCATATTTTATTTCTTTTCTTTATAAAGGAGCACAATTTTCTCTGCCGATCGGTTACACCCGCCGTTTATTTCCCTGTCATTTTCCGGGGAAACGAAAAAAGGCAGACATAATACCCTAACAATTTGTACATAAAAAGTCACTATTACACATATTGATAGGTTGTATTTGCTGACAATGTCTCAAGACTTGCGAAATAATTACTTCCAACGAGACTGCTGATATGATGATATCTTTGTTTCATTATCTTGTTTGTCAATAGCTTCCTCGTTTAGAAATTGTGCGCAGGAAGAGTATGTTCTTGCGTAAAGAATCAACCGAGAGACGTAAACTTCACATGCAGGTGATATGGATATATATATATATATCATCATTTATATATATATAGTTTATATATATATATATATATATATATATATATATATATATATATATATATATATATATATATATATATATTACTACATTGTTACTCTAAACCAGTAATCATTTAACATGAAGATAACGAACAAGGATTGAGCCAAAAAGTCTACTGAAACCATGTAAATCGGGAGCAGAGTAAACACAGACGACTGTAACATCATAAATGGGATCAGGTGTCATTGAGGTGTAACCTTTCTACCGATGACATACACCATGTGCTCCTTGTCATGATTTGGCAGACGGAACAATCGATAAAAGACAATTCAGTGTGTAAATATTAACATAACAATCGGTATGAAAATAAGGGTCAGTAAGCATTCTACTCGATGATAAGTTATATTTGCTGTCATGCCCATTGAATCAACCCATGAAACGAGTACATAACTATAAATCAATTCGTTTGTTGATGGCTTGGAATTTTTAGTACTTCATATGCTAAGATTGCGTTTCGAATCAACTGAAAGAAATAAACATTCTGCCTTCTGTATTTTGCTTCATATTGCTAAAGGAAGCTGCCTGTAGAAAATTTTAGTTCACCATGTTTATAATAAAGTTTAGTTGTCAGTTGCCAATTTTTTTTTTCTTCTAGAAAATCGTTCTTATTATGAGACAGATGTTAGTACTAAGTATCAGACACTGTGGATACTTTTATTCTGAAATTAATGGGAAAATCAATTTGACACTTAAAGGAAACTGAAAACTGATCATTTATAAAATTGAAAGCCCAAGAGACTTTTCGTTTCTAGCTCACCTGAGCTGAAAGCTTAAGTGAGATTTTCTGATCACCCGTTGTCCGTCGTCCGTCTATCTGTCTGTAAACTTTTCGCATTTTCAACTTCTTCTCAAGAACCACTGAGCCAATTTTAACCAAACTTTGTAGAAAGCATCATTGGGTAAAAGTAAATTTAAATTGTTAAAATAAAGGGCCAAGTCCCCTCCCAAGGGGAGATAATCTAGAAAATACAAAAAATAGAAATATCAAGAACCACTAGGCAATAAAAGCTGAAACTTATGTGGAAGCATCCTGGGGTAGTGTAAGTTTCAATTTGTTGAAATCATGACCCCCGGGGATAGGGCGGGGCCACAGTAGGGAATCCAAGTTTTACATAGAAATATACTGGGAAAAAATTAAAAATCTTCTTCTCAAGAACCACAGCCAGAAAAGCTAAAACTCATGTAGAAGCATCCTTGGGTGGTAGTGCAGATTCTAAATGTTCAAATCATGACCCCCCGGGGGATAGTGGGGCCACAATAGGGAATCCGAGTTTTACATTCAAGTATATAGGCAAAAAAAAAACACTGAGCCAGAAAAGCCTAAACTTATGTTGAAGCATCCTTAGGTAGTGTAGATTCTAGACTGTGAAAATCATGACCCCGGAGGGTAGGGCGGGGCCACAATAGATAATCCAGGTTTTACATAGAATTACATAGGAAAAAACTTTTAAAATTCTCTCATTAACCACTGGGCCAGAAAAGCTGAAACTTATGTGGAAGCATCCTGGGATAATGTAGAATCTAAATAGTTTGAATCGTGACCTTTTGGGATTGGACAAGATCAAGACAGGTATTACAAAGGGAGAAATATGTTAAATAACGGAAGGGCCAAAGTTACTCAGGTGCGCGATGTGGCCCATATGGGCCTCTTGTTCTTGGAAAGGTTTTTGAGTAAATTTTACTCAAAAAGTAGAAAAACGGGTTTGTTTATAGCAGGACATAATTAAATCTATGGGTATCAACATCCGGAGAACCTGCAAAATCCTTATCAGATCCTGCAACCCCAGCATCAGGACTACTTAAGATGGTAAGAGTGTTGCCAGAGAAGTAACGGGGAGTGTGATAGTAACACTCCCCGTTCTCTGTTCCCTGTTTTCCCTGTTCTCCCGTGGGTTGTATCACGAAATGTTAGCAATAAAAAGATTCATCTGGTATGCGACTTGTTTTTCGTCCTAGATTAGTAGTCACCAATATATACCAAATGCTTGGTTCACCAAGTAATTTGCCTAAGAATTTAAATCTTCGAGCGTTCCTAGTTTTTTTTGTGAAAGAAAAGGCTTACAGATATCAATCAAATTTCATTTTGAAATTTTTCTATAGAGATTGCATTCAGGAAAGAATTCCAGCATATTTTTCTCTGACACAATTACACAGATACATCGATGTGAATAGAACGACTTGTAATACGAATGTGGTCTTATTTAACGCACATCTATCAAACTTTATCTTATCTTTTTTTTTAAAAAATAGAAATCAAGATCAAACTGATGTGCACCAGAATTTTTACGTTGCCACATTCTATTCGCTTTTTTCCTTTGCATTCTCATATTTGGGACCCTTAAAAAACAAAAGTGACATGAAAGTATTTTTTATTCTAAATTAAATGTTATTCTAATATTTTTTCGAGCATAAAAAAAATGATGATTACGAATAATGCAAATCTGTGAAAAGAGTATGACACACGGATTCCTGAGAATATCAAGAGCTTGAGTCTAGTTCTCGTCCAATTTTTATTCGCAATTTACCGGGGGTTAACCAGCTCGCGACGATTAATTCATTAATTTTTGCAATCTAGCCTTCTGTTAGATATTTGTTAATAGACACAGAGACTTTCAGGACCGGTTCACGTCGAGAAATATTCGCAAGTAAGAGACTCTCAGGAACCTCGCGAAAATTTCTCGAACGCGAATTACATTGGTTTACATTGGTTTCATAAGCTGTAAGCCGCAGGTATTGAACAGGTAGACAAATTACTCTTAAATTTAGAATAAAACAAAACCATAATAATTTATTTAGTCAACATATACCGGTATGAATGAGAATAACTACTAGTATTGTTTGTTGATAAAATGTCGTCAGTAGTCTGAATGTTGAGTTGGAGGTCACAGCAAGTGTTTTTCTCTTCTCATGTAGTATTTACCATTTAATTCTGCTTAAAATAGGAATATTAAAACAGGTTTTAGTTCTTTCTTTAAAGAAGCACCTATCTATGATATCGAAAAGGATCATAAGATTTGGTTCTATTACAGACTTTTGATTAAGAATGGTGAATTTCTAATTTTTAATAGTTCTTTGGATTTTTGTGAACCCACGCTTGATTTAGACCACTTTTAGAACATGCATTAGAATAGTACATCCGGCTGTTCGTCTTCTTTAGCATGTAATACTTTGAATATAGTGGCTTGATAAAGCTTTTGCTTTACTCTTCAGTATATCTTTATTTGTAAGGATAATTATGAAGTTAAGGAATTCAGTATAGAATAATAGGTAGGGAAGATTTAACATTGTTTGACTGGAATGTTAAAAGTATAAAGCATTGAATTGTTCATCTGAAAAAGCCTCAGAAAATGAACTTCGCGTACAAATAGGATTTCCAGATGTAGAATAAAAACAAGTTCTTCTGAAATACAAAATTATTATTATTAAAATTGCATTTCTAATGCTTCAAAGGATATTGTAACAGAATCTAGACCAAATGTGTAAACTATGCATGAAACATTTACCGTTGATCAGTAGTAACGAAAAACTTTAAAAATATCAATTTTTAAAAGCAAGACGGTGAAAATTCTTTTTGTCTTTTGCTAACAATTAAGGGAATATTTAATACCAATTTTAGATTTTATTCACCCCCCTACGAAAGTTAACTCTAAAAAACAATTTAAATAAAATCTAGTTATCATATATTTGTTTTAATCCAAAACATTTTCGCTTTAGAAAATCTAATAAATGAAAATCTTATCTAAAACTAGAATATGGTGTACACATTATAAGTGCTAAGAACATTTAAATACAACTGTTTTGAAAGTTTAAATTATATTAAAATTTTTGTGGACCTCTTTCCATTTATCAGTTAACACCTTAATGTAGATCACATAAAATATGGACCTCTTAAAGAAATTGGAGTCTTTAATGATACGTTTGTCATATCCTTTAAATATGTGGAGAACAGGGGATCAGTATGATTTGTTAATGAAAACCAAGACTAAATCCGTTGTTACAATTAATAAAACATTATTCAATAAATACATTATAACTACATTTTCACGTAAGGATAATAATTCTACTAGGTCAATTTTGTCAGCCTTATATATTGGAAGTGTCTTCCTGGTATGACAAAACTAACGAAAAGTAACGTGGAGAAGTATTTTCATTAGAGCATATTTCTCAGTTTTGCTTTCTGTGGAGACAACTGTCGTTAAAATTAAGCAAATCTTAGAGAAATCTCCACCAGGCAATCTGATGGATAGATATAGCATTATTGTTTGCTCCCTCTTGTTACTATCAGTAATGTTTCTAGGGCTATCAGGTAAGAAACATTCAATGGTTTTGAGTTTTTGTTCATTTAAAAACACACAAAGATATAATTTATGGATTTGATGTGTATGTATTTGACAAAGTAAACATAGAAATGATTTTTTTATTTACTATACACACTATTTCGCTCTGGCGTAGAAATCCAAATACAGACTCCTGTAATAACATGAAAAACAATTTCATTAATCAGTCATAAAAGAGGATGAAATGTAATGTAATGGAACTTTCTATAAAGGTGTAATGGTATGATATGTAGCAAATGATCATATGATTTAAAATTTATGTATACAATTCTATTCCAATTTTAAAATATTAATTTTAATGTTATGCATCTTCTTGTTTATTCTTAGTCTAAAACATTATAAAGTATTAAATGAAATGAGCATAATTTGCATTATAAAAGAGAATCAAATAATTTGGTGTGAGAATCGGTTCCTTGGTACATGTGATAAAAAATCATTCGTAACAAATGGTTGCCTTGTTTATAAGTTCCTTTTCCTTGGTTTGCTTGCTAAGGTTTTTCAAAAGCCTATTACAAGTAATATCCATAAGGTATGTCGTATTGATATACTAATGAAACATATGGAGATAACAAACAGTATTCAAAATTTTAAAGTCCATAAAACAATACAAAACAGGAGCAGAGCAAACACAAACCTCCAAAACATCAGAGGTGGGATCAGGTGCCTTGGAGGAGTGAACATTCTTGTTTTATCAACTTATTTGTCAATAATTTACCTCGTTTTAGAAATTGGTCATACGTAGAGCATGCTCTTGCGTATCGAATCAAGAGAGATAACTCCGTATGCAGGTGATGAAGGTATATTGCTGCATAAGTAAGGGAAGTTGACGATAGAAAATTCATCACGTTTATCATAGAGCTTGGCTGTTAGATAGCCATTAATGTCTTTTTCAAGTAATATATCCAAATATGAAACAGATGTGTCAGACTCTGTAGTATCTTATATCCCAAGCTCCCCAGAATACATGGTATCGACATAGAAATGGAAATTAACATTGTTATTTACCATTGTTACCATAAAATATTCCATGTTTTTCCTGCAGAAGCGACGAATTCAACTGGTACGGACAACGATGGAGGGGGTGGACCCAAAGCCAGTGCCACCGGAAGTGTGATGTACGTCGCCATAACTATAGCGGTGGGAAGACTTTTACTGCAAAAGTAGCTCGGATGCTTGTGCATAATGCAAAGTGATGACCAACCCTTTTTTATATAGAGACAAAGTCGGAAAATCTTAATGTATGACCATTACAAATAAAGTAGTGAAAATATGTGTTGACGTTTTCTAGCCTAGAAAATGAACTTGGTTAATACATGATCTAATCTACTGACAAGTCCTTTGGGCATTTGATCACGTGACAAAGCAAATTTACATCTTTTCTTTGTTAGTTTACCAGAAAAATTAACAGCCAAAAACTTTATAAAATTTTAAAATTCTGTTGCTTTGCGTCATCTTTTACATATATAAACCTGAAAAAAATAATAATAAAATGATTATCCTAAAAACTGTTTTCGAAATTGTAAGACCGTCATTTTTCCCGTTTGCCTAATCAGGATAAAGAGCACACGTCGGATGTGATTGGTCGACAAGGGATGCTCACTCCTCTTTGAAAACTGATTCCACATCAGATGTTTTAGAGTTATGTGGTTGCTCTGCTCCCAAGTTGTATGACAGCAATGGCCGTTTGAACTTATTCAATGTTCGTTATCTTCATGCAAGAAATGGTTTGTGATGTTAGTAGCATAAACATCATTTCTATCCTTATGATTTTTATCTTAAAATATGACGAGACATAATGTGTTTTAGGACGTACATGTAAACAAATGTTTGAAAAGAAGCTAGTCAAAACTTGTTTGTTGTTCTATTTCAATAATGACAAAACATCTACACAATTAAGTCCTTGACATAATGTAATTCCGATCAACAAAAAAGATGTTAATCTTCATCAACTTTAATAAATTTTACATATTGAATTTATTTTGCAACAGAATTTAAGTTCCATGCAGCCACTTTTAATTGTCACTATAACAAAAATTTCCTGTTGTGTTAATAAACATATTTCTTTAAAATATGTACTTTCTGCTATAAAGGCTTTTTCAGGTTTGTACAACATTCTGGAATTAACAAAGAATCGAACGCATCAGTTGATTATTTTTGTGGTATACATTTCTAATGCATAAAGAAATCAAAACAGTCTTTTCCCTAATCTTGGAGAATTGGATTAAAGACACGTTTTCAGTCACTCTGAGTGATTTCATTAGCCTCAAGTACTTGTAAAAATATCTTTTCCTTATGATCCTGTAATAAATTACTGTGAGGTCCTAATATTTTGCTAAGAACCCTCACGTGGTCCCTGTCTACCCTGTCAATTCCCTGCTGTCTCCTGTCGTGCCTTTATCCAACACCTTAGTGCAGTGACATTCACTGTCATCCTTAGCCATAACCTGTCTTTGTATATTTAATCTTTCCTCTCCATCCTGTAAGGCGCTCACTTCGTGATGGATCGCGGGAGGCCTGGGTTCGCGTCAGATCTCAGGTGTAAACAGGAATAGTGACTGATCTTTCATTAAGCACCCGCGCAATTTACGGGTCGTCCTTTAGATGGACGCAAAAGATTGCTTTATAATTATATACATGAACTAGTTTCATTTCTTTGTATATTCATTTTTAAAAAGTATTTCTTAGTTATTTCATTACAAAAGACCGACCTACTAGATTCACTTCTCTTTTGATGATAAGATTTAATTGTTTTATCATTATCAGTCCATTCTTAGACAATTTAATAAATCTTCGCAAAGACAGAAGTTCTGAGTTCATACATGACCAAGGAACTCCCGACAATTTTTTCGATCTTTTCCGGGTCCTGACAAACTTAATGAAAAATGCAACATTGACTTTAGACAGGACATCCAGCATGGGCCTCTCTGAGAACAGATGTTGAATCACATGCCATGGAGTAAGCATCCCCTCTCAACCAGTCATGCTCACTCTTCCATGGCATCTGATTCCATCTCTGATGTTTCGGAGGTATGGGTTTGCTCTGCTCCAATTTTGTAATGAATAATGGACTTTTAAGCTTGAATACTGTTCGTTATCTCCATATACTTCATCCACCATGTGACCCTTGTCATAGTCGAGAAGCCAATTCAGGGTAAAAACATTGACACAACGAATTGTGTATAGGAGTCGATCAACCACAAACTGTGCAAACAAAGACATTGTATGATAACATTTTAATTTTTAACCTATTTATCAGTAACCCTTCTAAAATTAAAAGTTGTTTGTATATAGAAAATTTACACGTACACTAATTTATCGAATCAGGAGACAAAAACCCCACATGCAGGTGAAAATGTATACCAGGTTATGGGCTTTGGAGATAAGAAAGTCTAATTCATCACGTTTGTTATAAATATCATACTTAATTGATAGTCTTTGACTTGTAAAATCATTCAAATATAAAGCAGATGTTTCACATTATCATATACATTTGAGCTGAAACCTTTACATCAAACCCACAAGCCTTTACAGATAATGTTGGCTATTGGGTTTAAACTTAATAAAGTTATGTCTTTTTAATTCTTTTGATGGGAGAGTTCTGAATTTCAATAATTTTATATGCAATTTGTTCTTTCCAAAGCATGATTATTAGTTTATTTCTTAAACAATTAAGAAAATATCAATATACGATATTTTGAAGTAATTCGATAAGACACATATGGAGATAACGAACACTATTCAAGCTCAAAAGTTCAGAAAACAATAATATAGGGTTATTGAACATATTGGTGAATATTGGCATAAGTTGGCTGTTCAAATGCACGAGCTTGCGAGTGCATTTGAACAGCCAACGAGTGCCAATATTCACCAATATAAGTTCAATAACTCCTTCATTATATAGCTAAAACACTTCCATATAATTTATAATAATTATTTCAAATAAAAAAAGCAAATTAATGATTTTTTTAATATCGGTATTCAAATTAACGTCTGTCCTGTAAGCGTTCAATATCGCATCATTCCGACGACCCTACCGAGCGATATGATTTGCTTATTTACGTTTTCATGGGTCTAATACGTACTAAATTTTTATTAAATAATTTCATTTTGTGTGAAAAATAAACACATCTTACCTAGATCCCACTTCATTTCTTTAATGTATATTGTTTAATTTCCTTACCGACTTAAACATACAACAATAACAGGAAACTTTACAATTGTATGGAAAATTGATAAACCCAGGAAAAGATCCCGCCAAAGGTCTTTGTATGCGGAGATTCTTCTTTATTCCTTACACAAGTTAGTTTTCTAGATAGAGAGGACTCCAACTGCAAGAGGAATAAACACTAGTTGAAGTTTAATTGTTAAACTTTTTCAGTGACTGTTTAGGTTTAGCTGTTACTGTCAAGGTAAGTGTTTAGCAATTTTCGTCTGAAGCAAAATTTATTTTCGTTATCAACTCTTGAGGCAGGGTTTTAAAGTTTGCTGTTAAAATTAATATATATGATAACAGTTTATTCATATATAAAATGTATATGCTTTCTTGTATAATATAAGATTATGTTTGTTTAAATTTATAGATGAGATTATATATTATTCCTACTTTTGCCACTGTGCTCTTGGTGAGCTTCCTTGTCTGTGTTAATTCAGGTTTGTCTCTGGTTTATTTATTTCAAGATCAAAATGGGTAACGTTAAAAAGATAAAAATGAAACTTTAAAGCAGTGAAGTTTCTTTTTTTCTAAAGCATTTAATTATCAAATAATAATAATTTCATAAAAAAGTAAAGGAGGGGTAGTAAACCAATATGAACGTTGGGGGTTTTTGTCAGAATTTGTACATCCCTGCTTCTTAAATCATCCAGTTCGAATTGGTTTAATATTTTTTTTCTCTTTAGATGAAAATGAGACAACAGTAGGAACGACCCCCAGTACGACAGTGACGACAGTAACAACGGAGGCCCCGCAGACAACCACCACATCTGGCGGAACCTCCACAGCCACCACCGGATTTCTCCTAGCTCTCCTTCCCTACTTCATCTGGGAAATCCTACTACTTTAAAAAGCTAGATCCGCAAACTTAACAAACATTGCATAACAGCAAATTATGAAAATAGTTATCACTAATACTTTTTTTTCAAAAATAGTGTCTTTTCTTTTCAACGTGGTTGGACCATGTTGTTTTAATCCTTAAATTGAAATTATTTTGATGGCAGATTTTGTTTTAATGCTATTAGATTCGATTCCAAGACGTGTATATGTTTTGTTTCTGTATAACTTAACAATTAAATTGTCTTCTTTAATCCGGAAACTGTTAACTGAAATTAAATAAAGATATAAAATACTTGTGTTTCAGTAATTACTGAAATCATGACAGAGGAAGGGGCGTTTTGAAAGAAATTCGAAGAATTTTGTAATTTCATTTACCATTGCAAGTGATTCATCAAACTAATCATTGAAATCGGATCAAGTATCAAATTAAACGTTACCTAAGAAGCAATATTCATTTAAATTGATCTAAACATGTTTTGGGGTTGCATATTGAAAGAATTTCACAGAAATTTCTATCTTTAGTGTCCATGAGTGTGTAGCAAACAAAGATTACACAATTTTTCATGATCATCAAATGGTCACAATACTTGTGTCAGTCGCACAAACTTTCTGAAACTAGGTTTGCATATCAAATTTTATTTCTATCTTATCTTTTCCTATTCATGCCATGATTTGATTCTATATATCGTTACATCTGGGTCATAAAAATTTATTATTATTTTAATCTCTTAAATTCATTTCAGTTTTTCATTTAAACAAAATATATATGAGATAATGAATTTTTAATATGTATTCAGAATCATAATTAACCTAAGTTAAGTAAATAATACTTTTGCTGGCCATGAAATTCTACTTTCGAAAAATAAATTAAATTTTGAAGCATATATTACCTTCAAATATAGAATACTGTATAAATTTTTGTTAAAGTAGGTTGTTCAAAGAGGAAGTCCAGGTAAATAGATATGAATTTGTTTTTTAAAAGTTCCTCAAATTCAGGAAGCAGTAGTTGATACGATAATACCTACTGATGAGCAAGGACGTTCAGAACAAACATATTATTCAAATGACAAGTTATTTGCACACATGTTAACGTCTGACTTTAAAAAATGAATTTCTAATACATGCATAAATATTTCCTCAACTCCCCTTTCAACTTCCCTAAAAACCAAATAAAATGAATGCTGATTCAAATTTAATTTCATTTCAATCCCACTTATTCATTAAACAGTTAACAACATGAAGGCCGCAGCAAGTGTTCTCTTTTTCTCATGTTACAATTCTGAATAAATTTTGCTTCATATACAAAAGTAAGTCATCTTACATTGGGGCGCAATTGGTATCCATTGACATTTCAACAAATTGTATTTAGCCCCCTTGATTGAAAATAATGAATTTGAAAGTTTAAGTATCACTTTCTTTAAAGAGACACCGTGACGCACAAAGTGGAAAATTGACAAATATAGAATTTTTGCTTGACCCGAGTAAATTTTGTTCATTTCCTAAAAGTATTAGGTTTCAGAAAATTACAGATTTCAGAACCAAAAATTCTAGTTTTAAGTAGAAAAATAAAAGTAAAAATAATATCAGTATGCCCCATACCGAAAATATTGCTTAATACTTCTTCCCCCAATTGTACGCGTGCGCGGAAAAGTTGAATAAGTTTCCATAGTTACCATAATCTCAAAAACATACAATGAATGTAAGTAGACCAAAAAATTTGATGCAATCTTTTTAAAAAGTTGATAGAACAATATTTCTCACCTTTGCATGCTCCGGTTGAATGTTGTTTACAAGTTTGAGCTAAAAACAAGAGTGGCGTGACCTTGACATACACGAAAGCACCGAAACGGTAGATACAACCTTTGTTTTTCCGGCACTTATATTGTGCAGTCTTTTCTTGCAATTTAATTGTCATATCTTAGCTATATATTCTTAATTTTCTTAATTCTTTCTATGTATGCTACAGACATCTGAAGAGAAACCATGATTTTCACTCATAATATAGTCACTTTAAAAATAACTTATATCCAAGGTATGGAGTTGGACGCAAATGATCAATTTGTTTATCATTTCACTACAGAATCTACACTACCTGAGGATGATTCCCTGTAAATATCACTAAGCATGGCTTTGAAGTACTTGAAAAGAAGATTTTAAAAGGTTTCCCTATATATTCCTATGTAAAACTTTTATCGGCCATTTGGCCACACCCTACCCCCAGGGTTCATGATTTGAACAAACTTGAATCTACACTACCTGGGGATGATTCCACAGGAGTTTCATCTTTCCTGTCTCAGTGGTTCTTGCGAAGAAGATTTTTCCTTTATATTCCTATGTAAAAATTTGATCGGCCATTTTGGCCCCACCCTACCCCCGGGGTTATGATTTGAACAAATTTGAATCTACACTACCTGAGGATGATTCCACATGAGTTTCATCTTTCCTGGCCCAGTGCTTCTTGAGAAGAAAATTTTTAAAGATTTTTCCTATATATTCCTATGTAAAACTTTGATCGGCCAACTTGGCCCCAGTGGTTCTTGAGAAGAAGATTTTTAAAGATTTTTCCTATATATTCCTATGTAAAACTTTGATCGGCCATTTTGGCCCCACCCTACCCCTGGGGGTCATGATTTGAACAAACTTGAATCTACACTACCTGAGGATGATTCCACATGAGTTTCATCTTTCCTGGCCCAGTGCTTCTTGAGAAGAAGATTTTTAAAAAATGCCATTAATTTTTCTCTAATTCATGATTATCTCCCCTTGAAAAAGGGCATGGCCCTTCATTTGAACAAATGTGAATCCCCTTCATCCAAGGATACTTTGTGGCAAGTTTGGTTGAAATTGGCCCAGTGGTTCTTGAGAAGAAGATGAAAATGTGAAAAGTTTATTATGACGACAACAACGACAATGACAATGACTACAACGACAACGACAGACAACGGACAAAGTTTGATCAGAAAAGCTCACTTGAGCCCTCGGCTCAGGTGAGCTAATAATAATATGATAATAAATGTCTTTTAGGAACACATTGTTAGTAATATTTTGTGTAGTGTTGGCAACGAGTACCCGGTTAACCGGTTAACCGTCGAACGATGCGAGTATCGGTTAGTAAAATTGCTAATCGGTTACTCGGATAAAATGCATCTTACAAATGTATATGGTAAATAACTAACAAATAAAATGTTTATTTGTTTATAAGCATACAAATAAACATTTCTCTATTTTTTCTTTACCGTTAGACTTAATGATCTATGGTTTCACTAATACGATTGATTGGTTTTCACAATTAATTGATAGCTTTGATTGCCAGAAGGTAATAAAAGTTTTGAAGACCCAAGTTATAATTACCTCATTAAATAATTTAACAAGATGCCGCCAAAGACATGTACATGTATAGCTTGGAAGCATTTTAAAAGAACATCTGATTCCATACCTGTAAAATGTAATTAATGTGAATTGGATTTATCGTGACTTCAAATTTCTAAATAACTATTCTTCTTGATCGTGACATATATCGGGGGTTGAAAAGTAAAACTGATGAACGCCATTGTAAAATAGCGTGAAACATTGAATATTTATTTTTCTTCTGATTTATTAAATTTTTTGATTATAATTATATTTAAATAAAGTTATTTCACAATTCCTTTGTGTTTTATTCGAACCGATGAGTAATATATGAGATAAAAGATACATATTAATAAATCATCCGAGTAACCGGGTACTCGATCGGAAGATTGAGCGAGTAACCGGTTACTAAAAATCGTCCGATTCACACTAATTTTGTGATATACAGAAAAAAAGAAGCAGTGCAAAATTGTCATGTGCAATAAAAATTTTTTTCAAAGAGTGATATTGTAGCTCTCTCGTCCTGCATTCCATCAGATGAACGAGCTTCAGATCTACAGCCATAATATTGGGTAAAATGGGTATCTATAATGTAGATATCAAAAAATTCTGTATAAAAACTTGGTATCAACCCCTAAACCCTTACAAGCTGTAGCTCATGTTAAGGCTCAAGGCCCACTTTCATTTTTAATTTAAAAGTGATTTATCTTGCCAACAATATTTCAATTAAATATGTGGACTATTTGCAAGTCTCAAAATATACTACACAAATTAAACAAGTGAAAAAAAAGATAATGTAAAAGTACACAGGACAGAAAGGACAAGTGCACTTAAGCAATGCTTAATGGGCCCTTTTTATGTGCCATTTTACTTTAGAATATATAACCGAATCGTTCTCTTTTGGAAATAGTTATATATTAGTGTATATTTCTAATTAAAAAGCACGATAATCATCACCCAGATTAGTATGGATTTGAAACAATTGACTATTTTTAACTGCCTATATGGACACCCTAAAAATCCGGAAAAGTCGAACCGAACCTTCTTTTAGTTTCGTTTATGTAAATCAAGGCGAAGAGATCTTGAGCAATCTGATGGTGGATCATAGTCGGGCGCGTTTGTGGAATGTAACTTTTTTGTGCTATATCTGTTTTAAAAAAATTGAAAGAAGTTGTATAGTTCCCTGTAGCCATAATAATCAAACTAAGAAATCGGTACTCTTGCATTTGAAAAAAATATATACAATGAAATGAATTTGAAATCTAAAAGGAGTGTTTAGGTGGCTTTCAATACCTGTTTCATTATCTTGCATAAATGTTAAAAATGTCTGACACTTTTATGAGTGGCGCTAAACTCTCTTTACCCTACCGTAATCTTAAATATAGATACATACAAATATTTCTAAGCGGCGCGACTTTGACTAAATGATAAAAAAAAACCTGCCGATGTTTTACAGTGAGCACCTTTAAGGGATGTTTACCTGGGTAGAACTCACGTGACTATCAGTATTTTAAATAATTTATTCCACAAGTGGGTTCAACATGGGTCATACAGGTAAATACCTCTCACTTGCTATAGGAGAAACATTGTACTTTTTGTACATTTTTAATAGTTTAACTACCAGCCTAACCGTGTACAAATTTCCTACTTTCATACAAGTTTTATACATGTATTATGCGTCTTTTGTCATTCGCACAAGTTTGTACAAAGTTAGGCTCATAGTAAACAAAAGCTTTGAAATGAATGACCGTTCTCGATTTACTATAGAAAATCACAAATGTCGGGTGACCCCTGTCGCATTCTATGGTTTTGTTCTTTGTATTTACGTGAATTTCACCGGTAAAATTTGTTGAATCTTACGGTTAAGATATCAATTAATGATTTGAGATGAAAAATTTTGCTTAATTTGAATGTTTATTTTTTCACATTTTACCGGGGCCCATAAGTGCACTCGTTCTTTAATCCTCTAAGACTAAACAATTTTTTTCAGCACAAGATTGCCAAAAATCCCTCACTCTTTTTCAAAAAGCATAATCACATAGGGTATTACTTTTTGCAAGATCCTAAATGGTCATTTTATATTCAGTTTTATAATAATACAAAAAAAACTTTCTAAAATAAATTTTTTTTAAAACCTCCCCTTGTGCATTCTGAAATGAAGCATATGAAGATAATGAACAGTATTCAAAATCAAAAGTACATAAAACAATACAAAACAGGAGCAGCGCAAATAAGGACCTCCAAAACATCAGAGGTGGGATCAGGTGCCATGGAGGAGTGATAATCCCCTGCCGACTGGTCACACCCTTCGTGTGCTCCTTGTCATGATCGGAAAATAACGGAAAAATCCGTTGTCAATTCAGTGTATAAATAATGGACTAACATTTAGTATGAAAAACGTCAGTCAGCATTTGACTCAATGACAAATTGTATTTGCTGACAAGGTCATTGTATCGACCATAGAACTTACAAAGTGATGACTTTAAAGCAATATGAGCTGCAACTTTGATGTCAGAATTGTTTGTTGCAAAATTGTAATTAACTATTTCAAAGAGAGAAAAAAATAACATTAATAAACTTCTGTTGTTCATATTTGCGATGGAAGAACTGTTTATAAGCTTCAGTTGAATCTGAGTGAAAATTACATTATTGTTGTCCTGTACAAGAATGACTTCTTATGTAAATCTGATATTGGATTGTATATAGAAGTCTTTCTTCTGCTTTATTTTAGTCTAATGATCATAAAGGTTTAAGTTACATACAAATTTATCATTTAAACATATTTTAACAGCAAAATAAAATTTTCAAAAATGCAGCTCATATTAAACGAGACTGCTGATATTCTTGTTTCATCAACTTGTTTGTCAATAATTTCCCTCGTTTCAAAATTGTTCATACATAGATTATGCTCTTGCGTATGGAATCTTATCAATAAGATAACAATTTGAATATGCCCCTGAGTCTTAAACAAGAGGCCCACGGGCCTTATAGGTCACCTGAGTATTGTGTAACAACTTTCAAACAATTATATTTGGTTCGTGTTTTAAACCGGAGGCCATGAAATTCACAATTTACAATTTTGAAAGAGGCACCATTGCTTATCATGATTATTAACTTAGCATGCTTACTCTATTTACTTAATACCCAGAGGTAGATCAGAGTAACAAAGAGAAAATGCACTTCCACTTTATAACCAGTTGTGCACCTCACCCACTGACCCATGGGCCACATATTTCAAAATTTTGCAAATGTAATCATAAAATGGTTGATTAATAGCAAAGGGCAGATTTCAAAGCATTAATTTATTTTCAGACTATGTAACCCCCCCCCCCTCTTTGACCCTGGGGGCATAAAAAAACCACTTTGCTAGATGCACCTTTCTTCATCATAAATATATATATACTTAGATCATTGGCATAAAACCCAGAAGCAAAGGAAAATATTTTCAAAGAATTACTGTAATTTTACTATATAATCAATAGAGCCCCGCCCTAACACCAGAACCCCTGACCCTGGGACCATAAAATTCACAAATCTAGAAGAGGCACTCTTGCTTATCATAACTATATGTGCTTAGTTAGTTTATTTATTACCCAGAAGCAGAGAAGAAGATTTTCAAAGAATAAATGCATTTTCACTATATAATCAATAGAGCCCCGCCCTTACACCAGAACCCCTGACCCTGGGGCCATAAAATTCACAATTTTTGGAAGAGGCACTCTTGCTTATCATAACTATGTGCTTTAGTTAGTTGATTTAATACCCAGAAGCAGAGTAGAAGATTTTCAAAGAATAAATGCATTTTCACTATATAATCAAAAGAGCCCTGCCCTACTACCAGAACCCTGACCCTGGGGCCATAAAATTCACAAATCTGGAAGAGGCACTCTTGCTCATCATAACTATGTGCTTAGTTAGTTTATTTAATATCCAGCAACAGAGAAGAAGATTTTCAAAGAAATAATGCATTTTCACTATATAATCAATAGAGCCCCGCCCTAACACCAGAACCCCTGACCCTGGGGACATAAAATTCACAAATCTGGAAGAGGCACTCTTGCTCATCATAACTATGTGCTTAGTTAGTTTATTTAATACCCAGCAACAGAGAAGAAGATTTTCAAAGAATAAATGCATTTTCACTATATAATCAATAGAGCCCCGCCCTTACACCAGAACCCCTGACCCTGGGGCCATAAAATTCACAATTTTTGAAAGAGGCACTCTTACTTATCATAACTATGTGCTTTAGTTAGTTGATTTAATACCCAGAAGCAGAGTAGAAGATTTTCAAAGAATAAATGCATTTTCACTATATAATCAAAAGAGCCCTGCCCTACTACCAGAACCCTGACCCTGGGGCCATAAAATTCACAAATCTGGAAGAGGCACTCTTGCTCATCATAACTATGTGCTTAGTTAGTTTATCTAATACCCAGCAACAGAGAAGAAGATTTTCAAAGAATAAATGCATTTTCACTATATAATCAAAAGAGCCCTGCCCTAACACCAGAAACCCTGACCCTGGGGACATAAAATTCACAAATCTGGAAGAGGCACTCTGGCTCATCATAACTATGTGCTTAGTTAGTTTATCTAATACCCAGCAACAGAGAGGAAGATTTTCAAAGAAATAATGCATTTTCACTATATAATCAATAGAGCCCTGCCCTAACACCAGAACCCCTGACCCAGGGGACATAAAATTCACAAATCTGGAAGAGGCACTCTGGCTCATCATAACTATGTGCTTAGTTAGTTTATTTAATACCCAGGAGCAGAGAAGAAGATTTTCAAAGAAATAATGCATTTTCACTATATAATCTATAGAGCCCCGCCCTAGCACTAGAACCCCTGACCCTGGGGCCATAAAATTCATAAATCTGGAAGAAGCACTCTTGCTCATCATAACTATGTGCTTAGTTAGTTTATTTAATACCCAGGAGCAGAGAAGAAGATTTTCAAAGAAATAATGCATTTTCACTATATGATCTATAGAGCCCTGCCCTAGCACTAGAACCCCTGACCCTGGGGCCATGAATTTCACAATTTTGGTAGAGGACTTAATGCTCATTACATTCATGCCAACAGTTTGCCTGCTAGATGTCCAGGAGTAAAGAAGAGGATTTTTAAAGATTTCATTAATTTTAGTGGTTTTGGCCCCACCCCTCAGGCCCCAGGGGGGCAGGGACCATGAAATTCAAAATTTTTGTTCCCCTTCACCCATAGATGCTGTATACCAAATTTGGTTGAAATTGGTTCAGTGGTTTTAGAGAAGAAGCTGAAAATGTTCAAATGTTAACACACGACACACGACGGACGACGACGGACGAAAACGGATTGCAATAGGTCACCTGAGTTACTCAGGTGACCTAAAAACATACATAAGAAAATAATAAAAGACGTCTCATCATGTGTTGAACATCTAATAGAAACAAAAGATAAATTCCACTGACCTGGTTACTTCATGAATATTCACAATTCATTTATAATATAGAGCATGTTTGATCTCGCGTAAGAAAATCTCTAACTGTTATTCTCAGTTCATCATTTTCCCATTTGTCTTGTATTTTATTGAGGTAAGTGTCTTTTCTGGCTTCCATAAATTCTGGGAGGGGTTGGGACCAGTTTTCTGGTGCTGAGGTTCGATACTCCCATATATCATTCTCAGTCTTCATTTTCACTCTCTCTGCCTGTCTCTGCTTCTCATATTCTATCAGTTCATTCTATAATATTTAAAACAATTACATCATATGCATTTAAAAAAGAAAAAGCAGCTCATCTATCCCAATTTTACTTGAAAGTGAAGCAAGGTTTAATATCAAATTAATATCAATGAGAAAATTTTAGTTCATTTAACACTTCATTTGCATGATTTACATTATATACAGATTAAAGTAAAAAAAAAATAAAAGAAAAAAGATAAAAAAGAAAAACATCTAAAGCAAAAAATATCATGCTAACCTGCAAATTTGGTTCAACTAATTTTGTATCAAATGTGCAAATATACATCATGCATACATGTATATTGTTGAATGCCCCTCTCAAGATTTTTTCACTCATATGGAGACGCAACTTCCTATACTCAGCACTCAGGGCCATTGAGCAGGGAGGGATACGGTTTATACAGTCTCATCCGAAGGACCGGTCTCCACATCCCACAGTGGGATTCGAACCCACAACATAAGGATCATCTCCTTACTTCTAATGCAAGCTTTTAATATTTCATCATGTGATAATTTTTGGCAATTGCATATGTATGAAAAAAAAAAGAATTGTTTTTAGCTTTACATACCATGGCATCAATTGCACCATCTTCCCCCTTCTCCATTATATAACATTTATCTGAAATATTCCTCAAAGGGATGCAGTCAGTCATTTCACCATTGACATACACTTGTCTAATACGTGATGATGATGCTATAAAAATCAACGAGAAAAATATATTGTAGTGTCCTTTTTGAAATTCTTAATCCATAGACCATATATGCTTGAATAAATATCCTTATTTTAAAGTTCTTGTGTTAAATAAATACAGTGGACCTCATCAATTTGAGCTAGCATGGTTGGGAACCTATTGCAACAAGGCCTAGGGATGTGATATTAGTGTCAATTACTTAAATTGCACTTAACCACAGAAAGCAATCTCTATGCCGAGTTATAGTTCATACTATACCCACTTGTAGCGTGGACACCCTCTGGTGAGAGATTGCATGGACAGATTTTAATTTTTCAAAAGTCATTGCACAAGAGAATTTGAACGATTTTTTGCCTGAATTTCGAAGAGTTCCCGTACCAAACATTCTAACAAATGGAACATGAGAATCAAAATTTTAAAATGTTATTCTGTTTTGTTTAACTGGTGATTCGGATATCCGGATGCTTCACAAATACGGACAAATTGACTGGGAACCAAAGCGTCCGGATAAATGAGGGTCCACTGTATCCTTATTTTAAAGTTCCCAATCAATACTTTTTAATAAAGTGTTATAATTTAGATAAAAATGCTAATGAGAAAGGTGCAGGATGTAAATCAATTTTATAATAATGCACTCATGTTGTTAAAAAAAATCCTGAATAAAATAAAGAAAGTTGTGATTAAACAACTAACTTTAGAAAAAGAAAACATCATCGATTTGAGCCTGTATACTGAAAACGTCATCAATTTGAGCTAGCATGGTTGGGAACCTATTGCAACAAGGCCTAGGGATGTGATATTAGTGTCAATTACTTAAATTGCACTTAACCACAGAAAGCAATCTCTATGCCGAGTTATAGTTCATACTACGCACCCACTTGTAGCGCAAGCGTGTACACCCTCTGGTGAGAGATTGCATGGACAGATGTGAATTTCTCCGAACAAATTACATTTTTAAAATTAAAAGTAGTGCCTTATTCTAGGGAAGAAAAAAGTATTTTCATAATTTTTCAAAAGTCAGTTGCACAAGAGAATTTGAACAGATATTGAATAATTTGCCTGAATTTCGAAGAGTTCTTGTGCAAAGCTGTATATTTTTGTTTGAGTGTTTTGAGGAGGTTAATCTCTAATATGCATGTAACTTAAATAATGGATGACTGCTGTTATAAAAATCCTCATTAAATTGACAGATAAATGGGCACATTAAAAGAATAAAGATGATACATAAACCAACATTTTATTATAATAAAGGCTTGGTTATTTTTAAAGTCACCCATTTCCATTTCATGTTCACTGAAGGGTAACATATACTTACAGCAACAGGATGTAAAGTCTTTCCAGTAACTAATACAAGGTCTAATCTGAAAGTATTACATAAAGATTCTGTTTTAGCATCATGACATTGTGCACAAATTGTTTCAATGAATATTAGTTCGAAAAACCTCTGTTCTACAAATTTGATTGAGGGAGTCTTAGCAATGTAACACATGCTGAGTAAACATTTAAATAAAACAATAAATACAGAACATACTAATTTAATATCAGGATCATTTCTGTTGTTTACTGGTAGTTTATTGGCCTTCTCTTCTTGTTTTTCTATGACCGGTTCCTTGACTTCTCTCATGGAGGCTGCCATTTTTCTTTTTGATAACTCGTTCCGTGGAAATTCATCGTGAACCAACTAATTGGTTTTTTTTCCCTTTCCAGTAAATATCACTCTCAGTATAAACGATTCAAAAGAAACCTTCTCAGATATAAACTCATATATGGCACTGATATAGCTTATGAAAATGAAATGAACCTCGAGTTAACTAACATTACACAGTAAAGGTTCGACTAAATACACCAAACGACCCATACCAACAAGGATCATCACGATCATGTATTTCGTATGCAAGTGTTTTTTCACAAATAACATTTTTATTCAGAGATATAACCTACATGTTACTTACCATGACAATCAACAGTTTGAACGTGATTATCTACAGGTAAGGAACGGACACAGTGTCAAGACATTTCTAACATATGAAGATGGGGTTTGTCATCGCCTGTGTCTACGCGTACATGAGATTGTCACACTCACAGGCGCTTAACGTTCTAAAATGTTCTGTTCATTAAAAAAAAAAAATTCCCTTACTATGTTTAAAGTAAGGGAACCTTTTATTCATGGAAAGAAAGCGCCTGTGCTTCGTGTAAATATAATTATAAAGTATGATAAGTATGGCGTCCGTATAGGGCCATTTGTAAAAAAGCTCAACAACATACCATCGCGCTAAAAGTGCCTAATACACAACACGCCGTCACGTAACGTTGTAGAGTGCAAAGTTGTATAACGCGTTGTGTGTCAGCGCGACAACGTGTTGTGTTTTGCGTTAGCGCGACGGCATGCTGTGTAAAGTTGTGTTGGCGAAACAGCGTTTTGATCGAAAGTGTGTTAGCGCGACGGCGTATTGTGTTTAAGCGCGATGACGTGTTTTGTAGAATTGTGATGACATGTTGTGTGATATAGCGCAGCGGCGAGTTGTGTGAAGTTTTCTTAGCGCGACGGCGTGTTGTTTGAAAGCGTGTTAACGTGTTATGTGTTAGCGTGAAGGCCATTTGCAAAAGCTCAACAGCACGTTCGGGAAAAAAAAAACATGCCATCGCGCTAACATGCTGGCACACAACACGCCGTCGCGCTAAAACAACTTTACACAACACGCCGTCACGCTAACACAACTTCCGACAACCCGCCGTTGGGGTATCACAAACCACGCCGTCTTGCTAAAACAACATTACACAACACGTCGTGCGGGACCGGACTTTCGGATGAGACTGTATAAACCGAGGCCCCGTATCGCAGTGGGTGCTGGCACGAAAAAGAGCTCTTCCTGCATACTCAATGGCCCTCAGTGCCGAGTAAAGGACAAAATTTGCATCTCTCCACCAGGAAGTGGTGGCGTCTCCATATGGGTGAAAAATTCTCGAAAGTGATGCTATACAATCAATCAATCACAACACGCCGTCGCACTATCACACAACAAGCCTCCTCACAACTTGCTTACACAACTTGCACACTACATGTAGCTACAGCGTGACGGCGTGTTGTTTGTTAGCGTGACGGCGTTTTTTTTTTTCGGAGGGCGCTGTTGAGCGTTTGCAAATGGCTCTATCTGGACACCAAAATATAGAGAGCATACACACGTACCTGGCAGTTTTGCTCAGACTGTTCTGATACAAGTAAGAAGTCCATTTGAAGAAAAAAAACTAGGACGATGTATATAATGGATCTAACTTTATATAAAAGAGTATTTCGCTCAGAGTATGCAAAATTTAATAGGATTTATTGAAGAGTCTAATAAACCAATATCAGTAACATTTTTAAATACCAATTGTACCATTTTAATCGTGTGTGAAGTATATATTGGTTATTTTTTCTTCATACATCTCAGCTGATATCTACAACTGGTGAACCGCTATCAAGAGGCAAGCCTTCACCAAAAGCTTAACAAATTAAGTTTTACTTTTTCAAGTATGGGATATGAAAAAGACTTATTTCAAGACGGGGGACTGGGGCCTAAGGGTAAATTCAACGCTCCCTGCCCGTATTGTTGAATTGTGGTTTTCCTGTATATTCTAGTTTACAAACTAGCTAAAATTCATTTCATTGTATAAGGGTCAATCCCTTGAATATGACCATTATGACTTAAATTCAACTTTCCGTGGACCTTTTTCATGCACCTTATGTGTTGATAAGAAATTAAATTTTATTATAATTGTGGACTTACGATGATGTACAAAGTATTTTTGAAGTGGAAAAGTATTTCAGACCCCCCTCCCCTTCCCCCTAAATCTGCCATATAAGATGATTTCGTTTAAACTAATAAATTTCGCTTCAAAATGTTTGACTATTTGAAGAAGAATCTTTTTTTAAGATGTCAGAACATTATTTTATTTCATGTTTGTCTGTTTATTTGATTATGGATTTTGTTTTTTCTGAATTGATAATTTTTACATGTATCTGATTATTTGAAGTTACTCAGAAAACGTGGGTGTGATACAAAGGAGAAACTTCAGGAAGTTTATGAAGAAGTATGTTGTTTTAACAGTTTAAACTTTTCATAACTTTTAAAAATTAGCATAATATATTGTACACAGTGTTTTTAGAGTAGATTTTCTTTTGAAGTTATGAGATCCAGTTATGTTACAATTTGAATTATAGCCACATGTTAAATATAAATTTATTTAAATTTAAATTTTGTAACGTTGCAAATCTACAAATATTAAGGTTTATCTATTCTATTGAATATAATTACTACACAGAGTGAAACTTATATTGAAATCTGTTAAGACATGTAACTTCTGACTTTAAAAAAAAATATTGATAACTTTAGATTCAGAGGGAAATTGACAGAAGAAAACGTCTCCAAGAAGAAAGTTTGAAAAGAAAAGAAATAATTTCGACTAAATACAAACCTCGACATCCTGCAATTTACCATTTAAAGGTAAACTTGCAATGACTTACTTTGAATAAAGCAGCTAGGTACATGAAGTTAACACCACCACAATGTCATATTGTAAAAGAGCTATTCCTGGCTTGCTAGAATCTCCCATCTTTTCCTGTATTTTTATTTTTTACATCTTGCTTTATTGACAGAAAGAAATAATTAGGTTTCCATTTATAGGAGGAATACCTGGCATCTGAATTCTTAGACATTGTCAGCTTCTGTAAATCTAACAAAACTGCTTCATATGACGAAATTGTCAGCAAAATCAACGTTTGTGCGGGTAAGCTAACAAATATGTATACATGTACTTGTATTCAGAAATTATTTTGATATTTATAATTTTTGATAAAAAAATATTTTTTGTTCATTATAGGGTATTGTATTCTGGGGTATTTGATAAAAATGTCTTGCTATAAAGTCGACATACATGTAGTTTCCAATTTTCTGCGTTGTATATTTATTTAGCAAAAAACAATATTCTTTACGAATGAGCTTTAACTTGCTAATGATTTGAGCACTTACAGTGATCATTTTTAATCATTTCTTGACACTTTGTCAGAATGTATTGAATGTATCAGATCTTTTTAATATCCCAAACAACCAAAATGAATTTGAACTACCATACCTGTATTGGATTCCGAAACTTCATAAAAATCTTTACAAACAAAGATACATAGCGGGTTCCAGTAAATGTTCAACCAAGCCTCTTTCTTTACTCCTCACTAAGATATTAACAGTAGCGAAGGAGAAACTTCAAGAGTACTGTACAACAATATATTCGAGAAGTGGTGTAAATAAGATGTGTGTACTTAAATAGTCCAAGGAACTTTTGGAAAACTTGAACTCATATTTTACTAAAACAACAGCTTAAAAACTCGATTTTTTTCACCTTTGTACACAGCCATTTCCCACAATAAATTGAAGTCCAGGCTTTTTGATATTACCGACAGCTGCTTTTTCAATAAAAATGGAACTCGAAAATTTACTTACCTTGTCATTGGCCATTTGCAAAGTTAATTTGTTAAAAAACACTCTGATTGTACACACAAGTACTCTGAAGTTGACTTAAAAAGATACTTGTGTTTCTGATTGACAATATCTTTGTGGTTTTTGGAGACCAGGACTTCCAACTATCTATTGGAATTTTCCATGGGTATCAATTGCAACCCGTTATTAGCAGACCTACATGTATATTTTTGTATTCTTATGAAGCAGATCTTGTAAGTGAAAAGAAAACACTTGCTGTGACCTTCAGCTCGACATTTAGATATATCAACGACATATTGTCAATTAACAATGGTTATTTCCATTCTTTTGACGATACGATATATCCCAGTGAGCTTAAGATAAAAGGTGACAGAATCTGACACATCTGTTTCACAACGGGATATTTTACTTGAAAAGACTTTAATGGTAATCTAACAACCAAGCTATATGATGACTTTAACTTTTCAATCGTCAACTTCCCTTTCTTACGCAGCAATATACCTTCATCACCTGCATACGGAGTTTATATCTCATTTGATTCGATACGCAGGAGCATGCTCTATGTATGTACAATTTCTCAAACGAGGTTAAGTATTGAAAAACAAGTTGATGAAACAAGAATATTAGCAGTCTCGTATAAAGTCATCATTTTTTCGTAAGTTCTATGGTCGATACAATGACCTTGTCAGCAAAAACAATTTATCATTGAGTCAAATGCTGACTCATACTAATTGTTACTCCATCGCACCTGATTCCACCTCTGATGTTTCGGAGGTCCGTGTTTACTGTACTCCTATTTTGTATTGTTTAATGGATTTCCTTGAATATTGTTCGTTATCTCCATATATTTTGTTCTTACTGTAAGGTGTTTTTTTCGTAAATTACGGAAATTGTTGGTATGATGCGTTAACAATTCCATTATGACTCGGAAAATTCCAGTGTAATATGTACTGTGAAGTTGATTTTTTCATTACTTTTATCCAACAGATCGAGTTTACGCATTTCCTTTCTTCACTGATGAGTTTTGCCGCTTGTTTGTAGAAGAAATGGAACACTTTGAAGAGAGCGACTGTCCGAAAGGTCGTCCAAACACGATGAATAAACACGGGGTTAGTACTTTGTGTGCAGTTGATTGATGATTTCACCCTTTGCTAGAATGTATTTGTGAATGCTGAATAAGTCATTTAAATGTGCTGAAAATTTCTTTGAATAACATCAGCATGTTTAGCAATTACTCTGGGGAACAGTCGGGTACATACATATTGATAATCCTTGTATGTTTAGGGTTTTGCATTGATAGAACGGGGAAGATCAACGCCTAAACACTTAATTTTTCACTTACTGCCGTCAATATGATGATTTAGGTACCCGAGATGTATAGTTTTCATAGAGCTCTAAGGATGAGGTAAATATTGTATAGGCCTACTTAGAGAGTTGCTTACTAGTGATCATCGTATTGACATTAATGAATAAATGAAGAAAAAGAGAATGAAAATCATAAAAAATAAATACAACACATACAAAAAATGAGAAAGCAATGAGAGAAGCGGAATTTCACTAGCCATCAAAAAATAACTTCAGAAATCGTATCATTTTGGAAGCTGCCTAGCTGGTCTAAAGTTGGAAATATACGTATAACTTCAAAGGCAACTCAATTCTTTTATATTATATTTTGTGTTTCCCAATATATATTCGTTTTTTGTTCAATGTGAGAAAATCTGATGTTTGTTCAAATGAAGAAAGTAAGAGAGCAAGGAATCATTCAACCATATAATGATATAAAAATATGCTCAGGATTAGTATTGGTGTTTATAAACCAGCGATATTGAGAAGTATCAATATTATATGTAATTAGTACATTAACCGCGTCATAATTACATATCTTTTAGTTAGAAGATTTCGTAAATATAAAGTTATCGAAGTCAGAGGGCGTCCCTAGATGCAAGCACTTATGGTATATTTAGTCGTGGTTATGGGGATTCTTGGCAAAGCGGTTTAATTACTTAGATGTATTCCTGCACTTGTCTCTTAAGCAACAGATACAAAGAAACTAATATTCGTCCGGATAAAAAGACAATAAGTAAAGCTACACTATAGTACAAAAAGAACAGGAGAGTTATACATTAGATAATTTATTTCATGTAAGAAAAACTCAATTTGAGTCGTTTTCTTATTAATTCTGGTTTTAAAAATATTGATTTACATAACATGTTTAAAAATGCAGGTTCTTCTGAATGAGATTGGATTCGATGAGAATTTCTTGTCACCCCTGCGAGAGAACTATCTGACGCCAATCACCAGCCTCCTTTATCCGGATGTAGGCGGGGCCAGTCTAGACTCCCATAAAGCATTTGTTGTGACGTATAAACTTGGTGAAGATACGGACCTGAACTATCACTATGACAACGCAGAAGTCACCTTAAACGTTTCAATGGGAAAGGAATTTTCCGGTGGTGAACTTTACTTTGGTGATTTGTTTGAACCTCACAAGGCACCCAGTCAGAGTGTAAAATACGCCGAGTACTCACACAGGCCAACTATAGCCCTGCTTCATAGAGGGCAGCACAGACACGGCGCATTACCGATAACTAGTGGTGAACGGTACAATTTAATTATATGGATGCGATCATCGGACATACGAAATAGCTGTTGTCCCATGTGTTCCAACGAACCCGATCTAATTCGTTCCGTGGGGTTCGGTGATGGATTTACAAAGCAAGAAGAAATTGTTAATGTTTGTACTGTTTAATCAATTATAAGCTTATTAAAACGTATTGCACACATTTTTAAAATATTTCTTGACTTAAAATTATTACAAAGAATATATGGATGTAAAATACTCTGGAATAGTGCAACATGTACAATTTATCACATTCATCAACAAATGGCAAAAAATAAAATGTGTTCTATCTAAAAGGGAAAAACTGCATGAAAGTATTAAACAGTATACATGGTTACAAAACCGACTTCCACATAATTATTGGGGGAAAAAAAACCGAAGTCATATACAATGGATATATTACCATAACCTATTCTGGAATTGCAAAATGAGGCTAAAAACTTTTTAAGAAAATGGAGGATAAAATTTATGAAGAATTTATTACCACTCTTTAAAAAAGATAAATATGGTGCAAGATAAAAACTTTTTTTTATTACGAATGCTATGTAATGTCAACTCGGTTACTCGGAATTACAACATATCATATGTAAATATTTTACACCGAATCATCGTCGAATACCCACGGGTGATCTCGTCTTTGAAAGACGGGAACACCCGTGCATACATCAGAGGGTATCCAACGATACACACCAATAATTGTTCAAACATTTTAAGAAAAAGATGCATACTTCTACATGCCCATTCATTTGATTTAGACGTCGACATTGGAATTCATTATGATTTCCCCCCAAATTATTACAGCCAATTTTTAAAATATATTTTCTGGTGTTAACTAGTATATAATTTTTTATTTTCTTCATATAAAACAAGAAAAACCCAGATTTCTATCACGTCACTACAATACAAATGTTTTTCTTGTGTTTCAATGAAGTTTGTTTAAATCACCATCAAAATACTTCAATATTTTCAGAAGACATATACTAGTAGTCTATCATAGTGAATGACAATTAATAATTATTGCAAAATGTTAATATTTCCTTCCAAGAAACTAATATAATAATATTATAATTGATAGAAAAATATACAAGGAGTGTTAATGGTATATTTTACAACAATCGATGAGAGTTTGGTGACCCCGGTAAGGGCGTTTTGATATTGACCAATGGTCAGTGTTCTGGGGACATAGAATCAGAACTCTCGTACAAAGTACTCTCAATGTCTGTGTAACCCACGTGACTGCGATTTCTGGAAGGCGGGCGTGGCTTCCGGGTTTGGATGGGAATTTCCTGTAAAAATCATTAAAATTGGCACTCAAAAAATGTGTCTCCACGTGAGTGAAAAATTCTCGAGAGGGACGTTAAACAACATACAATCAATCAATCAAAAAGTACTAGTATAGCACTTGCATAAATTCTAATTGGACAAGATTCTTATGACGTAAGACAAAATCGGTGAAAGAATGGCATATTCAGTTTAAATTTATAACGTAGTGAAATGAATGTAACCATGTCGTTATATTATCAGTGTGCTCATAGCAGTAGAAAAACACAATATATTTTTAAAGGACGTGTTCTTAAATTGAAATTTGTTGTTATTTTACATTGTTATAATTATGATATCACAAGTGAAATCACCTGTCCACAAAACTTGTTTTTTTAAAATAAACATATAGTTTGTTACAAAAGTCTTTGAGCCATAACTTGTTTTCAAAGAATTTTAAAATAGATTTAAAAAAATGTTTTCTGTACCAAGTAGAACAAATTACACAAACATCTGGAAGAAACAAGCGATCAAATGTTCTCCCATTGTTGATCAGGTTTGAAAGTCCCGTATTTTATCGTCTTTACTTGGGCTTTCGGAAAAAGAGGTAAAATTGTGAAATACTTCAGGAAGTCAAAATCAAAGTGTAATTGATATTCCATTAATTAAAGTACAATTTTTTTTTTACATAATAAAATTATTTGAATGGACAAATTGTAGAGTAATACAGGAAATAAATGCATGTATATATGATTCAAAGTTAGAAGGAAATGGCTAAAAGTACGTGTATGTATGTAAAAACAAAATGGCTGTCTAGTCTAGAGAGATTCTGGCATGCGTGTGTTATATTTATATATACCCAAAAAAATTAATAAAATAAGGAAATATAATAAAATCGCTACAGGAGTAAGCAATGAAATAATAAATACTGCTTAATGTTATAATAAACCATATATACATATAGCTTTGCTTTACCTAATTTTCCTCAGAAGACTAATAAATTCAACATTAAAAATATACTGTATTTCTAATTTTATGGAATCAAGATACAGAAATACATGACAGAATATTTAATAAACATGAAATTTCCGATTAAATTTCTTAAATTATTTTTGTTTTATATTCTCTATATTTCCGATGCGAGAAAATTTTATGAATTACCGCTGAGGGAATCCGAGTGACGACTTCGTCAGTTCTCGTCGTTTTATTGGTGGAATTGATGTACTTCCAAGCTTTCTTCGCTTGGTCACGTGCTCTATCGGTCACTTCTGCTTTGACAGTCACCCCAAAGATGTCTTCATGGAAACGGTTAGATTCCTGAGAAGAGAAGATATTTTAAAGGAAAGTACATTTTGACAGTTTAAACTTATTGTACTGAATATTCAAATGTTCTATTCATGAACAGATTCATTGTATGATAAACTTTTACTTTAACTAGACTAATCTTCTTTTAACGAGGGCTGAGAAGGGTGACAACTTACTTTAAGCTTTAAGAGGTAGGATTGGGCCTTTTCGGCGGCCATTTTGCCGTGTTCTTGGATTATTTTGGCGAGGGTTGTTGTCACGTCCGACGCCATTCCTACGTCACCACATACATAAAAATGCCCGCCCTCTTTCATTATACTGTTAAACACTTGTTGGCTGTTTTTCTTCAAGAGATCTTGTACATATTCCTACAGAAAATTTTATGTGCAGAATATACACTCTTTGCGTAAATAGATCATGATTTTACTGGACAATCTATCCAAAAACGCTAACTAGCCTAAATGATAAAAGATCTGTCATTTAGTAGAACCCATACCTTTTTCTTTCCAGGTTCACGCGATAAGGCAACATGGACCTCGTACAAAACACCTTCCTTTGCGCATGTGCTTAATTCAGCTTCATAGATGTGATCCATAGTAGACTGTCTGCAACCGAAATATAAACTCATCCTGCCCCATCCTTGCTTCTCGCCATCTAAATATTCGAATAAAATAAATTAGAGTTTTGAACTGCAAGTACACAATCAGTAACTGACTCTCTGCTACAGGTAATTACTTACGTGAGGGAGGGGGAAGCATTTCCTGTTCTATTTTACGCTGCTGCCAGAAGCTTCTGAATGGTGCGATTCCAGTGCCTGGACCAACCATCACAACCGGAAGTGTTGCGTCGTCAGGTAAATGGAAACTCGGTGCCCTGCATAGAATGCACAATTTGTATGCATTTTATTTTATGTATAAGCATACTTAACGATAACAAATAAATATAACTTATTTGAAACTTACATTCTTACTACACAGGGAATCGATTCACCGATATCACATTTATTCAGCCATGACGAACATACTCCTTCATGCACAGGCCCAACCCCACCTGAGGATAAATATAACAATGGTATGTAATATGTATCACCAAAAATCTAATTCTAGGAAGACCTTTTCTCCTCAGCTAATCACTATTGTAGGCATTATTGAGACACTCTTACCCATGGTATTATATCTGACTACAGCCACCGTGGCGTGGATTTCTCCGGGGAAAGCCTTCGGGGAGGAACTGATGCTGTAAAATCTCTGCTGAAGCAGTGGGAGTTGTGTCATTAGGAGGGTGGGGTTCACCCGGAGGGAGGGGAATTCCTCAAATACCTCCACCAGGTTAGGGTTCCTTTCATGTTTCCAGTCTTCATATGCGTGAATGTCCTGGTTTACAAAGTTTATTTTTACTTGAGTTAAAATTTCTTTGGCTTGGATATACATCATTTACACAATAAGAGAATTTTTAAGAATAAAATAATGCAGAGCTTTAGAATTCTTTGTAAACTGACGTTTGCAAGGTTCTCCAGTCTGTTTTTGTCGCTCTCCCGCGTTGCTTGGGACGCCAGCTGCTTTAGCATGTTAACAGAAGGAGGCGTGGTTATATCCAGGAAGCGGGAAAATGCCGTTCGCAGGGAACAAACTGGAATCTTTTCTACCGGCTCCCAGGCTTTTGAAGAACCTCAAAATGTCAAAATGTCAAAACTTTCAGAGCAGAACATCAACTAGTATAAATTTTGTGTTGTTTCAACTTTTCTTCGCAAGCGAGAAAGACTTTCCCCGAGTTTCGCGAGATACTTTTATTGGAAAATATTTGTTCTCTATTAATGTGTTTTTATAGAATGTCAAAATGCTGCCTTTATCACAAAAAGAAGTATCCACGGATGGCTTCCAAACAAAAGAATCGCGACTAAAGGACACCTGCTAATATAAGTTGATTTACAGTATCTTTAAACTACGATACAACATAATTTTGACGACAACACTCACCTAGAGGGGTTGACTTTTCTTGAAGTATCTCTGTTTTGACTATTTGATCCGCCGATGGGGCGTTCTGGAGCCTTGAGAGGATAGATTCTACCATATCAGAAGAGTTGGTAGGGAAAATGGCCACGTGATCTCCAGGGGCATAAGCCAGCTCTGGGGCCCCACCTGTGTCCATTTTTACTAAAATAGTCTGTCGGCTGCAAATTTCAATAAAGAAAAATTAAGTAATATGAGTCTGTAGTATAAAATATATGTAGTTATGGCAAGAATCGAACTCTCAAATACCTTGAATCTGGAGATTGCAGTTGTGTTCTTTCGATCAATTTACACGGTATAACTGTTTTATTATGAACCTTGGATAAAGCTGGAAATTGAAACAAATAATGAATTTTTTTTTGGCAAATAAAGAACTACTAGTATTTAATTCTAAAAATACCAATCCCTTAGTACAAACTTTCAAAGTTTCAATATTCTCAAATGTTTTAATGAAATATAACCTTCAATTAATGAAGGTTCTTTGTCAGCGGGTGTCAGTCGGAATTTGCCAGGGGACCACGTAAAGTCTGTTTTTGATAAAGAGCTTGTGGCTTCGCTGATGCTAGAGTCGTCACCAACACAGAACGTCTCACAAGCAGACTGAAAAGATAAAATATTTAAGAAGTCAATGTTTACAGCTAAAAAGTGTTCGTAATCAGTGACCCTCTCCTACCCAGAGATAAACATTTGATTGAAATATAGAGAAAAGAGGCTGTCTAAAATTGTGATGGAACAAAATATTATTTGAAAAATAAGGCCATATTGAACTTAAGCTGGATCTTTTTCAATGT